CTTTTAACCCCGAAAGGTTCCTTGCCAATGGGTCTTTTCCCATGAGTATCTGTTGCCTCACTTGCTTGGAAGAAAACTTTGACTGGCAGAAACTAACCACCAGTGGTGCATCTAGCCCCTGCCCACTATGATGGTCTTGACCAGAGCTGGGGCTCCTGTGGTCTGATTGGTGACAGCCTGGGAGCTCAATATAGATCTCCCTATGTGCTTCCCTCCCACTAAGATAAAACCTTAGGGTAACCATTTGCTTGAATGGTCTGGGTGCACCAGACAAGAGCAAATCTCCCGAGTCAATATTTTCAAGATGATAATTCTCATGGACCTTCACAGCATTTGCAAAAGTCCTATGTCCAGGAGAAAGGCTCTCTTATACTCGTCATCTCTCTAATAAAACTGTCTTTCGTCACTCATAAGCTCTTCTTCTCAGTCGCAAATACTTCCAATTCCAAAAAAATGTCATTCTTTTCATTAAAAGTACTGCTCGAAACTCTTTAAATTCAAAAGAACATGAAAGTGCTTACACACATGCTACAATCTGAGATACTGTGTTATTTTCAGTTAAAAATATATTTCCCGACATGTATCACAGTTTTCTTCTTAGTGTGTGAATAAATGGGTTCAGCAAGTTTAAAACAAACAAGCAGAAACTTCATTAAAACAATACAAAGAAAATTTAGCGTGCATACCTAAGAATGGTGGATAGTACTTGCTTCTCTCTAGTTAACATTTAGAGATGAAGTTTTCCTTCTCTCGTGACTGAAACCTGCAATACCAACCACAAGTGTATTGTGGTAGAAAACATGTCTTTACTGTAGACAAATTAGGAGCATTGTTTCAGTGGAACTTTAGGCCGAGTAGACATAGGAAGTTTCAGAACTTTAATGGACTAAAACTGCCCTTTGAAAGAAAATACGTTTTGGCTTTTATACAACTTGAGCTTTATCACACCGCTACGACTACCTTTATGAAACATTACATAAGTACCTACAGTAACCAGAAGAAGGCCTCAGTATAGAAGCAGAAAGGTTGTCTCTTTTTTTTTCAACAGGCAGTAGCAGTCTATTAACGTTCTTACATCTACCAAACTAAAAGAGAACTGGTGGATAAAGAAAATGTATTTGCATTCCGAATATCAACTTGTTTCCTTTGTCCAGTGGACAGTGTCACCTCTTGATCTTTGTTCCCTAATAGCATTGATTAGCTGTCAGTTTCAGTTAACGTCATAACCGGTCAGCAAAGGATATTCCAATTTCAGCTCATTTAGATGTCGTCACCTAATAAAAAAACAACAGGATGGAGCACGTATTACAAAACAATGTTAGCAGCCTTGAACGACTTATTGTTATCATGAAAGTGCGAAAATTAAATGATCAATAATGTTACGACAGCGGTAGTCAC